AGAGAAAGTCTCGGGTACCACAGGAGTGGGCACTCCCCTTGTTCGGAACAACAGCATCGCCACCCTGCAGCGCCTGTTCATGACACACCCTTCCTGGGCCTCAGCACCTGGTGGAACCCCACAGGTTGGTTTTCCTCTTGGTTGAAGCTTTCTTCTCATGGTTAAACCCTCCCTGACCCAGGAGAGCTGCACCACACCGACCGTGATCCTTTACGGGGTCCTGAGATGCTGATTTAATTCACGATCAGTGACAAGAGGTTGGTTACTCGCATGCTGATGACATACTGTATTCCCAAGAACATCAGGGCACCGTTTCTAATTAGCAAGATATTGCCACCCAACGAAGCATTCCATAGGTGAGAGGGACCAAAGGAATGTGTGGGAACACCAGACCTTGAGCAGAGACCCACTTCCCCTTCTGCCTGGGAGTAGGCAGCTGTAAGACAATGTTTAGTAAAAACATGTTTACTAAAAACGATACAATAAGTTCCTGGAAAAGGCCTTCCCAAGGAAACCGCCCTGACCTCGACCTTGTCCAAAGACTAACCGCACCTTCAAACCCACACACATCCACCTCTGGTGGCAGAGCAGAACCAGCCAGGGTAGAGGCGAGAGCAGAAGCTTCTCTGGTGGGAGCTTTTCTTAGGAGGTTTTCTTGAACCTTTTTGGAGCCTGTTTAAACTTTTCTTTATATCGTTGAACAAGTCTCTGTGTTGTCAATCCCCGACACCCTCCGCACGTTCTCGGACACAGGCCCAGAAGCAGACGTGACAGGAATGTGCTAGATTATCACATAAATTTGAAGGATAAGTCAGAGCTGACGCAGTCTCCAGACATAAAGAGAGAAAGGAGATCAAGGCAGAGGCAAGGGCAAAGATCATCCGTGGTTGGCTCTCGAGGGCACTGTGCACAGGCACTGTCAGTCTCACAGAGTGAGGGAGGACCGGCATGGGCATGCTTCTCACACTTCCTTAGCAGTGTTATTCTGTGTGAGTAACGACTAATCACTAACACTCATTTCTAAAGTAAAACTGTTCACTGATTCCTTCAGCAAAAGCTAGTCAAGTATTTTTAAAGGCACGGAGCATTTGGGAGATGTCGCAAGACACAGATATGCTCTCTCGCTCTCTCTCTCTCTCTCTCTCTCTCTCTCTCATAACACAACCAACTAATGTAGCTGCATAGTGGTGGTGCACACCTTTAATCCCAGCTCCCCAGCTCTCTCTCTCTCTCTCTCTCTCTCTCTCTCTCTCTCTCTCTCTCTCTCTCTCTCACACACACACACACACACACACACACACACACATACAGAGCCAACTAATAAAGCTGCATAGTGGTGGTGCACGCCCTTAATCCCAGCACTTGGGGAGGCAGAGGCAGGTGGATCTCTGTGAGTTCGTGGCCAGCCTGGTCTACAAAGCGAGTTCCAGGACAGGCTCCAAAGCTACACAGAGAAACCCTGTCTTGATAAACCAAAAACCAAAAGCCAACCAACCACCAACAGCAACAACAAAAAGCAAAACAACTAATGATCAGTGTGCCCTGGTCACTGGTGACCACACACTGTGCCTGGATAATGAGAAGAAGATGCCTCAGTTTGCCAAGAGTTCTCCAGTGTGGGCCGCTTAGGCCCCTCTATGGGCATCTTCTGAAGAGACTCTGCCTGTTCACATCCACACCTTTCCTGAGGCTGTCGGACACAAACAGCATTGGGCACCACAGACTGTGTTCCTCCGGGTAGCATGGCAATTCAAACGCGGTCCCTTTGACTCCTCAGCTGGCTGCCAGGATTCTAATGACCCAACCCTCTGTGGACACCGGGGATTCCTAGGGTGGGGCTATGACCAAGAGGCATAGGCCTTGGCTCTTAGGCTCTTAGTGGCTTCCAAGACGTACAGGAACCCTCTCGAATGTGAAGCTGTGGACTGTGTGAGAAGCAGGGACGTCTGTCTCTGGCCTGGCGTTTCCCATCTTCTGCTATTACCGCAAAACTGTGACTGGCTTCTGTCAGTCATCTTGGGAATAATCTCAACCACACACACCCGGAAGAGTGCAATACTCTTCGTTTAAAGCAAACGAAGGCCCACTGTTCAGCACCCTGCTTGACCTGGTTCTAAGCTGACTTTAACCATCACAATTCCTTTGGCAAGCACCATCTAAGTTTGTAGGAAGGGAGTCACCAAGGCACGCCACTCTTACTTACAAGTCCTAGAGTGGCCACAGCTGAGGACTTGAGGTTATACGAAGCCATAGGAAGGCTCCTCTATTGACTTCCTGGAGGACATGCCTCCACCCTTACACCCTCAAGTGTCTGTGGCCTTAGGCCCCATGTTCACACACTGTCAAGAGTAAGTTGGCCTCAGCAGTGTGTCAAAATTAAATCACAGGACTCCAGATACCTCCACAGCTTCCGGAGTGAGTCCTTAGTGCCGTCCTTTCGAGAACTGACAATGGTTTCGGATGGATGCATCTCATCCTTTCGCTCTGTTGTCTTGGTGTGTCTTACATTAAAGTGGAAGCATTCCGTGTCAGGGTTGTGGAACGTTGCTTCGCTGGCGTTGAAGCTGCTTTGTTTCCGACGGCCAATGTTCTTCCACGCCAATCTCACACTGCCACGGAACATGGAAGCAGCTCTCACAGACGCCAGGAACTCAGCGGTGTCACTTCTGACCCCAGGAGGCTGCGCGTCCTGTGGGTCTTGTCCCACCAGACGCCCCCCCCCCCCCCCCCCCAGTGCTGGCTCTGCCGCAGCCTCTGGCTGCCATTGCCGGCAGCATCTTCATCCTGGTAACCTTCTGCTATTTATATTCTTGGCATTGGAACCCTGCATATTTCAGAAGGCAGACACAGAGCTGGGGACACAGGCTGTCTCTTCCGAGAGCTGCACAGTGGCTAAGCCCGATGGTCAGCTCTGCTCTCCTGAGGGTGGCTGGCCAGTGGCCAAGAAGGTCTTACAAAATAGAGAGGGGTGGATGAATCAGACGCACACACACTTTTTTTTTCCTTCTGTAAGCTAATACTGAAAATAGAAACCCTCAATGTAAAATGTCCGAGTAGGTATCCATTCTTGCAAGAAAACCAGTGACTTTTTTTTTTTATCTACCCACCAAACAAGGGGGTAGACTTGATCTACCTGACCATGCCGGCCAAGCAACTAGGAAAGATAAGTAGTTTTCACAGACTCCACCTAGGCTGCTCACACAGGTTGCTCTCTGGAAACAATCCAGGAAGCCTTGTCTCAGGTGCCTTCTTTTTTGGTTTTACGAGACAGGGTTTTTCTGTATTGTTTCGGAGGCTATCGGTCCAGCCCAGCCTCGAACTCACAGAGATCCGCCTGCCTCTGCCTCCCGAGTGCTGGGATTAAAGGCATGTGCCACCACCGCCGGGCTCAGGTGCCTTCTTAGAGAGAGCCACCCAGCAGGAGTCTCCAGACTGGGAGCCCAGGCATCGCTGGCTGCAGAGGTCTGCCCAGCTTCCATAAATGTCTTACTTTAATTTTATTCTCTTAAAAAAAGATTTGTTTCTGATTACGTGTATGAGTGTTTGCCTGCATATGTGGATGTACACTGCATGCATGCAGAAGGGCCCGAGTCCCTAACAGGGCACTGGATACCTTAGAGCTGTTGCTATCAATGTTTGTGATGCCATAGGTGCTGGGAACCCCAAAAGTGCTTTTGACTACACCAGCCTCTTCCTTCTCCTCTTCTCCTTCTTGTTATTTTTATTGTTGTTGTTCTCTCCCCCCCTCTCTCTGTGTGTGTGTGTGGGGTCTTTGCCACAGGATTGTTTTCCTGAATTCTGAATTTTTACTGAACAGAGCCAACCTCAGTGGCCGCCAAGCTGACCCTTTTCGTCTCAACCGTAGTCAGTTCTCTGGTGCTGGCCCTTCATGGGGGTGGGGGGGTGGGGGTGGGGGGGTGGGGGTGGAAAATGATGGACTGCATTTGTATCTATGGACTGAGGTCGACTAAGACAATCCGGGGGACATTGCCTTCAGAACCACACGTGTGCTGTAAAGTAACAGGCCTTTAAGGGAAGCCAGAGGAAACAGGGGTTCAAGGCAGGCAAGGGAAAGGTGGCTATTTGCGGCCCTTCTGGTTAGTGTGGGAGCTACTGACCAACCTGTGATTCTGGAGGCTTGAGAAGTATCCCAAAAGTCGAGGTGCTAATAACGTTAAAAATAATGCACTGTGGTATAAGACTTAATACAAATAAAGAATGAAGAGACAATTATTTCCTACCACTTATGAGTGAAAATGATAATTAGATAAATTAGGTTAATAGAAAATACACTATGAAAATGGATCTCACATTTTTTTCCTTGCTTTAATGTGGCTGCTAGAAATTTCGCATCAGTGATATCGTTATAATGCTGTTTTGTTAAGTAAGAGGTTCAGAGCAGAGTCTATGGCCTGAGGCCTGCTAACAAACACACCTCGATTTTAATTTCTTTCATGAAGAGGTCGTACACATGACTATAGAGAAGAGAGACCTAGGACTCTGCTGTCGATACCTGAGCTGGTACCCAGGGCCGTTTGGGGCTGAGGACATGGAGGGGGCATCCATCAAGGCCTGGTGTCCCAGAAAACTTTTTGTCCATTCAGAAGACAAACCTGACAAATACACGGTATTTACAACAGGCATGTCTTCAGAAAACCGACATCCCATTGCCCTGTTTGCTTCTGACAAGTCTCTACCATTCTTTGTTGACCCAACATCAAGGGTAGCTAACATTTAAAACAGAGCCACAATATTATGTTAGTAGCAGCTGCCTCGCCATGCCAGGGAAACTGCTGGTGTTAAGAATTGAGGTTTTTCCTTTCCAAAGGTTTGGTGAAATCTCCACTGGCACAATGCTACACGAGTCTCGCTTGTGGACCACCAGAACCGTGACAAGTGAGACTGTCTTTAAGGTGCAGGTAACCTCTAACCTCCCCGGTAGGAGAAGTGCAGACAGCTGGACTATCCACCCGTAGCCCAGACTTATTCCCCAAACCCACCTCTCTGCTTTTCTGTCTGGCTGTTCAGCAGCTCCTCACATTTTGTCTCTTCTTCCTGTATTTCCAGATGAAAGCGACATTCTGGATGGATGCTGCTCACCTGTTCAAGTTAAAGAAACAGAGTAACTAAAAGTTACACAAGAGGAGTTAAGCAAAAATCTACAAGAAGACCCCCCCAAAGCCTCACAGTTCTGCACTTCTTTCAAGATGACATTTATTTTAAAGTAGCCATCTTCATTTTCCTAGTGTGACTACTAAAAGAAAAGAAAAACCTTACTATTTATTTTGTGACACGAGCATAGAATCCTGTAGAATGCTATTCCTGAGCAGGGAACTAAACTGGAATTCTATATTGTACATTGTTACTACCAACTTAAGAGCAATTGGGCTCTAGAAACTCATACTCTCAGAACTGAAGAGCTCCCATTTCACAAGTCTGTGGCTTGCTGAAGTACAGCAAGTTAACCCTCAGTGGCTGTGGGCCGAGCACAGCTGCTCTGCGATCACCCCAGAGTCACAATAGCCTAAGTGAAGCTTCACAAGCTTGGGAACTCATTAGAAACGTGAGTTCAGATGACATTGCGAAGTTCGGTGTGAAGCACCTTCTTTTACAAACAAGAGGGATTGGAATGGAGAGGAAAAGCAGGGAGAAAGGGACTTATCCCAAGGAGCCATGGGAGGTTTCTGGCAAAGCTTTCCTAGGGTCCTTAGACCCTGTAGACACCAAGAAGTAAGGAGAGAGCCCTGAGCTCTCAGCCCCAAAGACAGACTTCTCTGATCTGTGTCCTCCTAGGCTGGGCTGCTTAGAGAACACTTGCTCTCAAGACTTGTCCTTTAGTTTTCCTCTCTATGTCTCCTCTCAGCCCCTCCCTGTCCCCATCGTAACTTGCTTTTATAAGACAGTATTTGCATAGGAACTATGCCAGGTTAGGTAGACCAGTTATCCTGCTGTTGATATAGGCCAGCCAGCATCCCAACAAGGAGTGCAATTCCCTGACGGAATCGAGGGATTCGGAGCTGAATGTCGGATTTTCCTGCCACATCCACTTTGTGTAAAGACCACCCGGGACGCCTTAGTTCTGCTACCCCATGACAAAAAAAAAAAAAAAAAAAAAAAAAAAACCAAGTGTAGAGATCCCTGATGCCAGGCAGCAGCAACTCATGGACCTAAACTTCAGAACTGACTGATGAAATGATAAATGAAGGTACTAAAAGCAACGAGCTCTCAGACAACGCCGGAACAGAGGCAACACGGAGAAACGTGGGACATCTGTGTGGTTAGAGCGGTTGGGAGTCCCGAGGCTTGCTCCCCTCAGCTGCCCGTGGGGGCGGAGAAGATGCGACCCAGAAAACTGAAATTTCATCAACGATGATGGATGGATTTGCTTGAACAATCCCTCCCTCTTTGCTGCAAACGCTTTGCTTCATTGGCTCCCACACCCCGGAGGCCTAAAAGTGTGGAAACCTTGCACAGGGACACAGTTCTCGGTGCAGGGAAGGAAAAGCCAGAAATAAGACTCACACCCGTCTTTTCTTCCTTAAAAAAAAAAAGAAAGAAAAATAGAAAAGACTTTCAAATAAAGGGTAGTGTTCTGGAGAACTGCACAAAACCAGTGGAACCCATGTGGCAAACTTCAGTTCAGGGTTTCCTTCAGCTCTCTTAGAAAAAAAACCAAAACACCAAAAACAAAAACAAAAACAAAAACAAAAAAAAAACCCCACAAAACAAAAAGCCAGAGTATTTCCAAAAGGAAACTTTCTTAGTCACACCACGCTCTCTCCTGTCACATACTAAACAAACACAAGGACCAGGAGACGGAAAGAAAATATTTAACCACACAGCTGTTTCCCTCAGGAGCAAAGCCAGAGCAGGTGGCCCCGGCAGCGGCCACTCTTCTTGCAGGGTGCTAGGGATGTCTCCAACTCCAAGCGCACAGTCAGACCAGGACCCAGATCGTCTCCCGCTGGGGAAGTCGAGGAGAACCTGGGCCCCACTGCTGGCGAACCCGCGACGGTGGTGGGAGTAGGAAAAGCGCCAAGGAGTCCAGCAAGCCAAGGGTTAGGTAAGACTTCAGTAGGACGCCTGGGGTCCCGGTGCATTCTGCTCTGGATCCTCCCCGCTTGGCTGCACGCTCCACCCGCTCGCTCGAGCTGGGACTCGGGAGGTGAGTCCAGCTGTCCACTGCAGGACGCACCTCCTCGGGCAGGGGGCGCGGGTTCACTCACCGGCACCAGCAGCCAGCAGCAGCAGGTCAGCAGCACCGACGCCCTCATCTTGGGCTCAGCGCGCTCGCCTCGGTCCTAAGCGCCCTCAGCAGCACCGGCCCGGCTGGGCTCGGGGCCTCCGTGCGAGCCAGCGAGCACAGATTTCCTCAGTCTCTGCGCCTAACGCCCTCTCCGCCTTCCAGGCTGCAAGTCCCGGCCCCGCCCCTCGGCCCAGTCCCCGCCTCGCGCCCCCTCTCCCTTCAGCAGAGCCTCTCCCTGGCACTCGGGTCCACCAGGTCTCCGTCCAAGCATTCCTCCCTCCACCAGCGCTCCTCCCTGCGGTGCTGGGCCCTGAGCTGCACCCCAAAGCCCCTCCTGGCTGGGGTACTTCCCTTGTCAACTCTGCTCTCTCGCACCCCTTCCTGCAGGGCTGCCTTTGATAGTCCTGCGGCACTGCCCCCCTCCTCTGCGACCCCACTGTGGGCTGCCTTGCCCGCGCCTTTGGAGGGCTGGAGGCTCAGGTGGTAAGCACATGCCCACAGCACGAAGGGTATTACCCAACTTCAGATAAGGGAACTTGAGCGCTGAGTACGCACTGGGCACTGACTTCCGACGAAAATGCGAAGTCTGCATGCAGCGCGAGGGAGAGCTCCAGAAAGTCCCGCTGGACGCCCGTTGTAGGGGCTGCACTGGTGTGAACCAAGAGAAAGATGGAAACTCTAAGGGTTTCAAACCCGGGAGCTCAAGGCCGAGTTGAGAGCAAAAAGCAGGAACTTCACCATGGCAAAAGTGGGTCTGCCCCTTGGTGCCAGGACAGAATTGTCTCCCTAGGCCTTCAGGTGCCACGTGTGGTCCACTGGACACCAGGCCTAGGGGGACACTGCCACTGCTCAGCTGCGGTTTGGCTCTCCACGGGCCAGTTCTAGGGAAGAGTAGAAAGTTACCAGCAGTTGACCGCAGCACCAGTTGAAGCAAAGCAGGCAATTTTAAGCCTCTTGTTCTGATGTTATTTTACACCCAAAGCTAGAAGACCGAAAGTAGTAGAAAATGCACCCTTCGAACTTTTGGGTGTCTGTCTGGCCACTTGCTTTCTCCTCTTGGAGTTTATCGTGTGCTCTGTGACACCAGAGCCCCGTGTACCCGAGGACCTAGCTTTCTGTCTGTTGTGTGACATTCTTCCATCGGGGAATCGCAAATGGTCTGGGCACTGGTTTTGCAGGCTGAGGTCTGGAAGCATGGGCTCTGGTTCGGTCCGCAAATACTCACTGATATTACAGCCAGTGAACCTCATCCGCCTGCACGTTTGTTAAGTCACAACAATGACCCCTGTCCTTCGCCTCGGAGAGTCACAGTGAAAACTAGGAGAACAGATTCACATGAATAGCGAGGGCCTGCACTCCAAAATCACTTCTGGATAGTCTCGGTCAAAAAACCCCCCCACAGCAACAGAGAATTTGACGATGCGAAGTGACCGTTCTGGCACAGGATTGATACAGGCAGGGGAAATCAAGAGGGCCTTGTCTTTCCTGGGAGATTCCTGCAAAAGTGGAAGTCCCAAAGAGACTGGTCACCAATGGAGGTGAAAAGGAGCCCCCACGAAACGTGACATCCAGCGGTCAGCACTGCGGCAGCTCAGAGAATCAAGGCACACAGGGATTGGGTCATTGCTGTCTAGAACCGTTGGCTCACCCTCAGAAGGGACACCCGTAGAGGCACAGGAGCCGGCTCTTCTGGCTTTGTCTGAAGTCCTACTATAGATTAAAAAGGGGGCTGGGTTTCTCAGTGAAACTGTACTCTGTATTTCAAAGTCTCTCCTTTCTTCCTTCCATGCCACCCCTATTGGGATAAGCAGAGAGAGAGAGAGAGAGAGAGAGAGAGAGAGAGAGAGAGAGAGACAGAGAGACAGAGAGACAGAGAGACAGAGAGACAGAGAGACACAGAGAGAGACAGAGACAGAGACAGAAAGAGAGAGACAGAGACGGAGGGAGGGAGGGAGAGAGAGAATGCTATTCTAACAAGGCAAAGATGTGTTACATTTGTTTATGCTGCAGAATAGCAGAATATTACTTTAACTGTGTCAAGGCATGTTGCCTTTGTTTATGCTGCATTGTTTAATGATGTAAGGATGTGTGTTTAATTATGTAAAGATGCGTTGCATCTGTTTCACCTTGCCTACCTAAGGCTCCTGATTGGTCTAATAAAGAGCTGAATGTCCAATAGATAGGCAGAGAAAGGATAGTCGGGGCTGTCGGGCAGAGGGAATAAGTAGGAGGAGAAATCTAGGCTTAAGAAAAGAAGGCAGAAAAGAACAGAGAAGGAGAGAACGAGGGAGACATCCAGGGCAAGAAGCCAGGCAGACGCCAGCCAGCCAGACACAGAGAAGCAGAAGTAAGAAACAACATGCCCGGTGGTAAAAGGCAGATAAAGAGACACAGGTTAATTTAGAAGAACTAGCTAGAAACATGCCTAAGCTAGGCCAAACATTCAAACTTAGAATAAGTCTCTGGGTCATGATTTGGAAGCTGGGCGGTCACCCCAAAGAAAGGTCTGGTACAGGGGCTCCCTTGTGCTTATGGGTGAGTCTGCTTGGGTCTGTGATGGGATCTCATGCTATTCAGAGCCAGGATCTGAACCTGAGTATCAGACTTGGGCTGTGCCCTCCAGCGTCCCTCCGAATCCACTCTGACCACTCCCCATCAGCATCTCCTCCTCCTGATGTCTGGGCACCTTATCCCTCCGGCACTGACATCCTCTTGAATGTTGGACAGTTTCCTGGTCCCTCCTGGTCCCTCAGTGCTGCTCTGGTTTCCAGACAAATAAGCCACAGGCTTTCAGTCCTAGTTATCCCAGAGGCTTCTTTCACCCTCAAAGCAGCATTTGGGGCAGCGCTTTTCATGTACCATTTTAATTAATTAACCCTTTTGGTCTCTTAGTATGTGGTCACTGATTTCTTTTCCTTCTTCTTCTTCTTCTTCTTCTTCTTCTTCTTCTTCTTCTTCTTCTTCTTCTTCTTCTTCTTCTTCTTCTTCTTCTTCTTCTTCTTCTTCTTCTTTTTTTGCCTGTGAAGTTTAGCCTCAGCAACAAAGGCCAAAGCTGGGGGCTCAGATCCCGTCGTGATCAGCTGGCACTCTCCAAGATCTTCATTGCGTGGAGCTGATTCAGTGGGACTTTATCAGAAACACTAGAAGCCCCTATGAGCACATTAGAAAGAGGATCCGCAGTAAATGACAGACGACACCCACTAACATCCGCTGACTCTTGCTCTGTTTTCTTACCGGGGCTTTGTGTTCAACTACGACGATCTTCAACAACAAGAACGATCAACAAGAACGAGAGTGATTGTTTCGGCGCTATTTGTCTTACCTCTGCAAAATGAGACTCTTTCTCGGTGCCTCTTTCTGACACCGCCCTGTAATGAGGGGAGCAATTTCAGGGGAGTACACAAACTGAATCTGTTTGCCGCACCTAGAGGGCATGGTTATGAGAGACACACGACCCATTAGGGGGTACAACCTCAGCCATCTCCGGGTTCTGTGCAGAGAAGGAAAACCACACACTGCCAACTTGTAAAGTGCAAACCTCCTCCTTTGCAAAATGTATTAGACGGTGGGTTGGTAGCTCATCCCGGCTCCCTTAGTATCCCGCAAAGCAAACGAAATTCTTGCTTAAAATGTCAGATGTGCGTGATTGCATATTGGTTATGGGTCTTGAAATGTAAAATGGAAATGCAAGAGAATTTTGCCTATTCTTGCGTCAAGGCTGGGGGAAAACACCCTTATAATTTATTTCATTGCACAAATTTGAAAGGCAAGCCTTCACGCCTGTTCTCATGGCGAAAGCCGGCGAAGGGGGCCTGTCTTCATGGCTGCCCCACATCACTTCGAGGTTTGACCCACTCAGGGTCAGTTCTAGGAGGGGGAGCAGCTCATAGCACCTATAGAAATGTATTGTCTTTCATTTTAATTTTTCTTATAGTTTCTTTTTTATATTAAGCTTAATATCGGTTTGCTAATACATCTTGTGTTGAGCATAGACACCTATCCAGATTCTGCGCCCAGCCGTCCCTTCCTGGTCAGAGTTCTTGGGGGTGGGGTGGGGGCGGAATCGAGAAGAGAGAAAAAGAAATCCTCCAGGGTTTCGTCTCACAAACGAGCTGCCTACAAGCCGAAGAAGGGGAAAGCTGGTAGCTGAATGCCTCAGACCCAGAGAAGCATATGGAGCAAAGGGTGGGAGCTGATAGGCCCAGAGTCCAAAATTCTCAAGAACCCGGAATTCTGATGCTTAAGGCAGGGGCTGGGGCTCCTGAAGAGGAAGCAAGAATCCATCTTTTCTTTGCATTTTCAGCTCATCTGGGCTCCAGCTAACTAATGGCGCCACACACAAACTCTTATCCAGATCGACACCCAATGACAAACCCAGGTGTGTTGCTTGCTTGCCAGCCGTCTGCCCTTTCCTTAACCCAACTCCCCTTGGCTACTGACGTTCACCATCACGTGCATCGCACACTGAATTTAAACGGGAGAAAGTCTCATTCTCCATCTTTTTTACAGCCGTATTTATTAAGACTTGGGGGGGGGCGTTCCGCTTTTCATTGACATGGAGCACTTCCTGTACACAGAACAAGGAACTCGGAGTGCTTCCTGAACACGGAACAAGGAAGAAGGAAGAGGGTTAAGATGAGTGTGTGAGGGAACGAACACTGGAAGGAAAACCTCAGTTTTTTTTTTAATTTCCCTGAGCCATTCAGCTCTTACTCATGATGCTTTAAAAAAAGTCAAAAATTATTAAATTAATTGTTATTAAAGACTAGGATGTACTAACCTAAGATAATTTTCATAGTATAAGCACATTTGGAGTGAAGCATCTATTTTGACAATTGAAGAGCATTTAAATGTAAAAATTCCCTGATGATGCTAATTGCATCAGTCATGGTTTTGCTGTAATCTCAATGTTTTATCCAAATAAAAGAAACTAATTAGTCCTATTGAAAGAAAATAGAAGTAATGAAAACAAGCAATATAACTCAGGCACAAGCTCAAAAAAGCATCTATTATGGGGGGGAAAGAATTTTTGTTTTGTCTTTTTTGTTTTTCCCAGACAGGGTTTCTCTGCGTAGCTTTGGAGCCTATCCTGGAATTTGCTCTGTAGACCAGGCTGGCCTCGAACTCACAGGTTTCCGCCTGCCTCTGCCTCCCGAGTGCTGGGATTA